ATTAAGTATTTTGTTTGAACTCAATGATTATCCTAATTATATTTTAGATTTTTTATATTTAAAATGAGATGTTTATCCTGTATTTGATTGTGTTTATATGCAGTTASTTACACGAATTCAGATATGGGATGAAATCGGATAAGGATGAAATCGTTCAGGGATGAACGGATTTAAGAGTTTTAGTCAAATGCTTTATAAGAAAGTATAGATATAGATTATGGATTCAGTTTTACATCTGTTTTGGATTTGTTGTTTATCCTAAAATAGCCGCTAGAATTTACATCTTTGTAACATATTAGTCCCTAACAACCTTTAACTATCATCCATTAAATGAGGGTATATGGTCTTTTTCCAAAAAAAAATATATTTTTTATAATTCATTTGTTATACAAGTTGTGTACCCGTGTAATACGGCGGGATGTAAATTTTTGAAAAGATGTAAGCATACATATCGATTACGGATAAAGATTTGTATTTGAAATTGTCAGACCCTACACCATTGATTGTTTCATATTCAATTGATTTGGGAGGAACTGAAACAATCCAATAATCTATTTGATGTTGAAATTTGACAATCGATTTATTCTAATTTATGCATGAGATGTCGTATTATGGAACTATCTATCGATCTCCTTGAGAAATCGATCAAAATTTCACAATCAGATGAATCCAAAGGCGAAGCTTGGGTAAAAGCGGTCTCAGTCAACTTTTTAGCTGTTGCCTTTGGTTCGTCTTTATTCTGTGTAAGTGATACAACATCCTGATAAAAGAGACCCACAAATTTTAAAATCAGATGAATCTAAAGGCAAAGCTTGGGTACATAACATACATCAAAAGTCACCGTTAAGAATGGGTTTTTGAGTTTTGGTAACCACGGGTGGACAAAGCCAAGACCGTAAAAATCTAGAAGGCAATGATCGATCTTTGTGAAAGTAACATTACCCGTGACTTTGTGGAGAGAACAGATTCAAGACAGCTGGCATTGAGAATAGGCAATCTCAGTGTACAACCAAGCATCATCTCATGAATATGCAACTCTTCTTCTTCACTCAACCCAATGAACCTATATCTTACTTTTCTCATAGTACTCTTCAACTTGTGCAAAATGTATCCTAACTACCCTGCCTCATCATATATAAAGTCTATTAGCCACATAACATGCCACCACGCTTTTTAAAGCAGTTTTACGAGATGCACAGATTTTAAAGTAAATGTTAAAACGGAACCGAATTGGTGTTGATCGGTGATAAAAGTTCCTACATGAATTTAATTCGTAAGAATTAAGATTATGATCAAACGATGTATATACGTTGTTTGTAAAGGTTGTGTAAAACAAACGAAAAAGAAAAGTAACCAAAGAACCTTTTGCCTAGCAGAATCCGAATTAACAATAGGGTCCAGCCTCCCAAACGGTCAACAATTGAAGCCTCACTTCTGATAACAAAAGTTAATTGTCACTGGAACAATAGACCAGATTGCCAGTTGCATAAGTATATCAAAGTGAACTTGAATTTGTGGAAAGCAAAAGGTTGGTCTTAGCTGATACATGATGAAACCATTAACACATGAGAGGGAATGTGATTTGACAACTTCAGCAACAAACACGACTTATGATTACTCTATGTAGTCCAACATGATCCTACATAAAACATAAATTTCATCGAGACATGAAAAACCAGAATACCGCACAACAGACTACTATAGGTTTCTCAACAACACACAAATCTGTTGATAGATCATCTTTTTCTTAAGAGTTGAGACCTAGAAGCATTAGACATCCCACTGATGGTAATAAACAAAAACAAATACAACAAAAAGATGAGTGAATGCCAAAAGACAGCTGCAAATGCAATGTAATTTCAAGTACATGTTTTTAATTGGAATTGTGATATATCCATTTGTGGTAGGATGGTGATTTTCCCCGACCGGGTGGGGAACCTGGTTCACCCAACCCGAACGGGGACGGGGATTTCCGCTTGTCTACAAATTCAAAGAATATGATGATTAAAATGATCAAACACTGTACTTTCCTCACAAGAGTGTAGAGAGATTATGCAGAAATAATCCTTCATTGCCTTGCCAACAAGATTAAGTTTTAATTAAGTAGATGGATGGTATTTGTAATTGTAATTGTAAGGTAATATGATAATTTTATTTCATGGCAAATAATGCAGCATGTTATGTCTTTTCAATATCCCTATTGTTGCTATCTACATCTATCATGTATGCATGTATAATGTATTCTTAATTTATCTATTCAGTCCATACCATGCAACAGCACTCTGTATTCTTAATTTTATTCTCTCTAATTAAATAAACAGCCATGATGGAGTTTTTCATATTTCAAGGAGTTACCGGCATAAACAAACAACCATGATTCAAAATCAAAAATAAAACAACGAAGAAGGAGTTTTTCATATTTCAAGGAGTTACCAGCAAAATAAACTTAGAATTGAATTGCAATCAAACATAAAAACTTAAAAGGAAAACATGAAGAAGAATACATAAATACTTACTTGCAAGGGGATCGTAGATACTCGACGGCAGCAGCGTGGAGTGGGATTCAGGCCCAACGGGTATTTTCTTCGGATCTGGAAAAGATATATGAATGGATAATATTGAGAGAGAAAGTAACTTGGGAATTTCTGAATTGAAAAGGCTGGAACTACACATGCTTGACGCCACATATATGCCAAATGCTCGTCTATAATGGAACTTCTTATACAAACTCAA